ATTGGACCATAATGAGGATCAGATGGTCACAATGTATCAATGTATAACTTGTTGTCATAAGATTGGACCATAATTGAGGATCCAATGGTCACAATGTATGACCTTGGTGGTTGCATGGCAACATGTAATGAAGGTTCCTTGCTTGGGCTGTACTCTTATAGCTGCCTAGATAACCAATCAAATATTTATAGACTGCAGCGATGAATCTGAAATATTGCTGTGGTGTAAAACAACATTCACACAACATCCACACTTGCCAGTCAACTTTGAGCAAGTTTACCATGCCAGACATCATCACTCATACTAACTTTTTACCAAAACACCAGCATGACACTAATATAGCTGAGTCGGTGAAAACGGCAAGGTTCAAATCAGAACATATGCTGTATTGTCAGCCACGACTAGACGCTTCTTTCTCGACACTATAGAGTCGGTGCAATGGATAAATGTCTTTCACTGATAGCATTGTCCCTAACTGCTTTTTAAAAGACTTTGAGTTGCTACAGCTGAACTCATATTTGATCAGATTAGATAGGTAGAAGATCTACAGTACGACTACCAGGGTTTATTGGTCTTATTTAAATGGCTCCAGCTATCAGTTGGTGGAGCTCTATGATGATTACAGTATAGGTCACTGGGAAGTCATCCATCATGTCGGCCATAATTGTGATTAGTTCGAGTTGGTTTATCGTGATTTGTTGAAGTTTGTCTTCCTTCATTGTCATTAGTAAAATTGTGTATTCCATTACAGTTAAGGCGAAAAGGGTCTTCATTAACTTGAGACTAGACTCTGATGTAAGACAATGTGTCTTTGTTTCATTGCACCCATGAGGATCCAGACAGAATAGGTCCCCAGTACTCCATTCTTGGTGTGAGAACCAACTGATGAAGATCAGGAGGCACTATATGTAACTTGGGTGATTGCATGGTATCGCATACCTGAATTGTTGCTGAGTCTGTCAACCACTGGTTCAATCAATCAATCAATCAATCAATCAATCAATCAATCTATCAATCAATCACGGTTTATGCTGTTTCCAGCTATATTACACCCATATTGTGGCAGGGACACCAGCAATGGGCTTCACACAAGGTATCCCTGTTGAGAATCAAACCCAGGACTTTGGCATGACAAGTCAATGCTTTCAGCACTTGGCCACCCTAGTGCCCCAACTTCATTGGATACTATATGATGATGAGGCTACTGCCAACTTGAGCAAAGCAAATGTTACACAAAACTATTTTCATTATGTTCAACTCTGAATTGGGGATCTGATAGACATGCAGTGGTAATGGATTCTAATGGTGTTAATCATTCATTAAATAATGATGAAAACAGTGGCTAGGACACTTGTACTCCTTTAAAGGTCCCTCTGATGCCTAAGTGGCCAGGACACTTTTACTCCTTTAAGGGTCCCTCTGATACCAGGTGAGGTGGTGAGGTGAAATTGGGTTTAACGTCGCATCCAAGATTATTGCACTTATATAGCCACGTGCATGTACGTGTGTGTTTGTGTGGCTGCTTGTACTAGTCCGGACTGATGCCGATTTATAGTGCTAGCACACTGAGATACCATGCCGCAGTTTAACATGAATACCCCACTCAGACACAGTATACTGACTCCGAGCCGACCAGTCCTTGTTTTAGCCCCTTAATGCCGAGCGCCAGACAGGGTAACAACAAGTACCATCTTTTCACGTCTTTTGGTATGACGCGGCCAGTGATCGAACCCCGAACCTTCCGCTCTCCGGGCGGACGCTCTACCACTAGACCACGGGGGCGGTCTCTGATACCAGGTAAATGGCCAGGTCACTTGTACCCCTCTGAGTGTTTCTTTGTTGCTCAAATGGTCAGGGCTCATAAAGGGTTTTTCATATATGGTACAAGACATTGATAAGATTTTGTGAAATAACACGCGAGAGCATTTTGGAGTAATGGTACCTAAATTCAGTTTTAACGACAACTATGTTTACAGTTCCTTTTATTTAATTAAAAAACAATGTACCGTTCGTAACAAAATGAACTTTGAATTCAATTCTAGGGGCATCTGTGAAGTATATTTTTAATAAACAAGATAAATTACTGAATAAAGTACAAGTTAAAGAAGTGCTACTAAAAGAGTGAAATGTCAGAAAGTCATATTTCCTAACCATTTTGGAAGCAAGAGACAATTTGTGTTTTGACGGTGAAGTGCAGTGAATGAAAGAAGTCTGGAGGACATAATGGACGTGCAAGGTAGCATGTTTACTTGTCATCCTGTGTTTATAGGCTGCACATGTGTTGCCGACTGCAGGTTGGATGTGGCCTGGTTAGATGTGTAGATTCTGACAGCCTCCAGATGATATAGCTATGTGCGGAACTGGTTGTGTCAGGTATGTTCAGTGTTGGGGGGAACATCAGCGCCGCCAAGTATTGGAGGAGACGCAGCTATGTGCTGTCTCGGCATGCCTACCTTGTTATGTTACTTACATATATGGAACAGCTTTCAATGAATTACTGCAGCAAGCCAAAGTAAAGACACTTGTTCTGACAGAAAAAGCTATTGTTTTTATGTTATTTGGAGATTGGTCTCTTCCTTTTTTAATTGGGAAAGTGTAATTGGAGGCCAATGTTAAAAACAATATTGTATCAAAGAAGAAGTTGTCAAAATAATTGTTTTGTCATAAAGGGCCAACTTTTTTGTTGCTTGAAGATTGGTCACTCACTTTCAATTGGGAAAGTGTAGCTTGAAGACAATGTAAGGAGACATTTTTTTTATTTCTTGGTTTACGGAATTCAAACTCATTTCAAAAGTGAGGTCACTAGGCCAATTTAAAAATAATAAAAAAAGCCTCAGAGATTTTTTTTACTTAAATTTTGTCCTAAAAAGTTAGGTAGGTATAAAAAAAATATCCTGGAGTAACAAACTTAAAACAACCCAATTTTTCAAGAACATTTTATCATATCCCTTGTGCACAAATGGCAATGTAACAATATTCATGTCATGGATGGAAACGCATGAAAGATGCTGCTATTTTGGCAACATGGGCGACGTTTAACTCTTTAAACACCAGCCAACCAGAAGATTACTGCTTTGACACCAAGTTTCCAGAGACTCTTTTGTGATAGATGAAGCCAACATTAATCAAGGAAATTATCTGCTTGTAATAAACATCTTTGCTTCTACATGTTTGGCCATACACTATTTGAAAGGTCTAATTAATCCTATTGTTTATAAATATGAAAGTTATGTGTATTACATTATTTTAATAATTCATCCACAAATAAATAAAGTTTGTTTTAAATAAAGTAGGAGTAGCAGGAACTTGTTAGACTGAGCATAAGGACTCCTAGGACTCTTAAACAGTTTGTAGGGTATACAAGATGTTATTAGCATGATATATGGGTATGGTTTCCTGTTGTTCAGATTGAGTTTCTGGTGGTCTTGTACAGTCGACAGCAGTACCTATTTGATGGTGTATATACTTGTATCATCATGCTGGGAAGACACTGTACAAGTAGCGTCACATCTCTACTTATGTAATTCTGTAAATGTCAGTTTGATTATGTCTGTTTTTTAGCCTGACCTTGTACTATATCACATCTACAATTCATTGTCAAGATTAACTGGATTAAAGGTCAAGTCATGTTGAAAACCCTAATTTTGGCGATTAGGGTAGATCAGATCATTTGACAGTATTACATAAAACCACTGAGCAAGTTGGACCAAGCTAAACTCTCAAGAATAACTGGACTGACGGCCAACGCTGCAATATGAAAAAAGTTGACTGTCAGCATTGTTTAAATGCAAATATAAAACGTCAACGCAAGAGACTACCAGTCTCAATTACCCCCGAAACAAAATCCAAGGGGCTTAACAGGAGAAAAGGCAGTGCAAATAATATGAATGGATCACTGAGTGTAGGCATGTCCTGCCCTACAGGCAGGAGCACCTGCCACTCACACAATGTGCAAGGGTATGTTTTTGTTGCCTGATGCTGCACCTCCGTAGTCTAGTGGTAGAGCGTCCGCCAGGAGAGCGGAAGGTCCGGGGTTCGATCCCCGACCACGTCATACCAAAAGACTTTAAAAAATGGTACTTGTTGTTAACCTGTCTGGGGCTCGTCATTAAAGGGTTAAAACAAGGACTGGTCAGCTCAGAGTCAATATACTGTGTCTGAGTTGGGTATTCATGTTTAACTGCGGCATGGTATCTCAGCGTGCTAGCACTATAAATCAGCATCAGTCCGGACTAGTACAAGCAGCCACATACACACATGTACATGCAAGTCGCTCTATAAGTACAATAATCTTGAACGCGACGTTAAACCCAATTTCACCTCACCTCACCTGCACAGGTAAGTGATCTGTCAGCACAGGTGAATTGGTCTCAGTGTTTCTGTGTCAAGTGAGCTACAGTGCTGTGCTGTTGAGTGAGCTTATATGTTGTGGCATGATGAACGTACTTGAACGTGTACAGTTCAAACATCCCCCCAAATCACATGGTTAACCAAACGCTTGATTTTGATGATCCCAGCAATAGAATGACAAAAACATGTCCACAAAATCAAAATCAAATATTTATCTTGACTGCCATTGTAATCATATTGAAAAATTGATTTGAACACATTCCTAGGCAATAAGTATGTATTGCTGTCGACTGTATGTTGAAAGTCACCTACTGACCTGATCTAATGGTATCATTCTCACTCACTCACTCACTCACTCACTCACTCACTCACTCACTCACTCACTCACTCACTCAGGGTTCAGTCTGAACAAAGCCAGGGAAACATGTTGACAGGAATAAGAATAGTCCAATGAACTCAGAAATATGACACCCCTCATTACTTCACATTCACAATCAAATAAATTGGAAAGATGGAAAAAATCATAGGGACTCTCATACGCCTCTATTGGCAGGTATGTCTCCCGCAGCAGCCAGCATATTGATCCACTATGCAGTGTTATATACACATGTTATTGGTCATTAATAAGGTGTACAACAGCTTGTGCTTACCTGAACTATCAAGATGCAGATCATACATAATCCACAACACCTGGCAGTTGACCAGACGCAGTCAACCCTCTGTCTTACACAGAGGAGACTGCCGACACTCACTGACGGACGGAAACACACCGAGAAAGTTTCAAACTTTGGACACAAAATGTATTCATTGAAAACTTAATTGTAACTGTTCCTCCAGGTATGCTCCAAGTTTGCTGGTTGGATAATGTACAATTCATTAATCAAGTTCTTTCGAAACTTTATGGTAATAACACGATTTATATGATTTCAGTAGAAATCAATTTGCTTGAAGTAAATCTTCAAAAAACGTCAGCTAAATTGCCCCATCAAACTGTCTTCCCTTGTAAAGTCCATACGTCTGCTACCACTGTTCTGCTGCCCGTCTGCTCCTAGTACTTCACATCTGCCACCACTGCTGTAATGCACTTCTGCGTCCAATACTACACGTCTGCCACCAAGTACTGCACTGCAGTTTCCACACTCACTGAACACATGTGTAGTTGAGTCTAGCAGCTGACGGTGCCACTGAGTGATAACCACTCATAACACTGCTTGTTCCCATTGGACCAGGCACAAGCAGGCTGTAGTGAACAGTGTGCTTCCTTCTCCACTGTCCCGGTAGTAGGAGAGCATGTCCATGGAGGCGATCAGCCCAGTGCAATATCTAATCCTGTATCAGCAGAGTTTCAAGGTTTGGAAACACAGGAATACAGAAAAGTGGCTACATTCATCTCAACATGAATAGCAATTTTTGGTTTATCAGAACTTGATGAGCTCCCATGTGATGTAATAAAATGTATTGTTCTTGGTGTTAACATTATTATGTGCACATCAGTCTTGTCAGCACAATGGGTTATTTATGAAGAAATCAGGAAAGTATATATATTTATGAAAGAAATTGGATAAAGTTGGGTTTTTTCCTTGCTGGTGATTCATTTGGGAGACCGTAGAAATATAATTGCATCTCCTGTCAACCGTCACACCAATGTTGAAGGATGATGCAGTTTCGGGGCATATCACAGATGTTAGCATGGCTGATAATTGAAGTTGTCTGTGTTACGGATACAGGACCAGTCTTTATGGGAAATGTTTTGTGATTCCAATCTTAGACAAGGGACAGTGTTTCAGATAGATGGAAGGTGTTCCAAACGAGGTAGAAAATGTTCTGATGACAATCTTGGATTTAGGGACCATGTTTCAGATGGGTGATAGTTGTCCCAAGTTTGGTAGAATATGCCCTGATAACATTCTTGGATTTACAGGGACAATATTTCAGATGGGTGATGGTTGGCCCAAGCTTGGTAGAATATGCCCTTCATACTTGGCCAAAGCTTGGTAGAATATGCCCTTCATACTTGTCCCAGGCTTGGTAGAATATGCCCTTCATACTTGTCCCAGGCTTGGTAGAATATGCCCTTCATACTTGTCCCAGGCTTGGTAGAATATGCCCTTCATACTTGTCCCAGGCTTGGTAGAATATGCCCTTCATACTTGTCCCAGGCTTGGTAGAATATGCCCTTCATACTTGTCCCAAGCTTGGTAGAATATGCCCTTCATACTTGTCCCAGGCTTGGTAGAATATGCCCTTCATACTTGTCCCAGGCTTGGTAGAATATGCCCTTCATACTTGTCCCAGGCTTGGTAGAATATGCCCTTCATACTTGTCCCAAGCTTGGTAGAATATGCCCTTCATACTTGTCCCAGGCTTGGTAGAATATGCCCTTCATACTTGTCCCAAGCTTGGTAGAATATGCCCTTCATACTTGTCCCAAGCTTGGTAGAATATGCCCTTCATACTTGTCCCAAGCTTGGTAGAATATGCCCTTCATACTTGTCCCAGGCTTGGTAGAATATGCCCTCAATAGTTGTCCTAATCTTGTTAGAATATGACCTGATAACAATCTTGCATTTACAGGGACAATATTTCAGGTGGGTGACAGTTGGCCCAAGCTTGGTAGAATATGCCCTTGATAGTTGGCCCAAGCTTGGTAGAATATGCCCTTGATAGTTGGCCCAAGCTTGGTAGAATATGCCCAGAGGATTTACAAGGATCTATGGGGACATAATGTTTCAGATATTTGGAAGCTTGTTCTGGCTTGATAGATCTGTCGTAGGAAATACCTAGATTCCAATTCATTATTCCTCATGGACATCCTTTGAGAGGTGGTAGGGCAGGCTGGACTGCAAATAAATGTCTTTCTCCTCTTTTAGCAGACTCCTTTGCCCAATGGTAACACTATTTGGGGTGTTATTCTATAGTTGGTACTATCTCAGCTATGTCAAAATGGCAGACTGACTTTCAACTTTTGACCAAACCAGTGTTTGATAGCATGAACACCAACAGGACTTGAAAGAACCAACAGTTTGCTGCCATTTAGTGGAAGCAGGGGCTGTGGGGTAGCCTTGTGGTTAAAGTGTTCGCTCTTCACGCTGAAGACCCGGGTTCGGTTCCACACATGGTGTGAAGCTCATTTCTGATGTCCCTAACTGTGGTGTTGCTGGAATATTGCTAAAAGTGGTGTAAAAACAATGGTCACTCACTCACTGTGGAAGCAAACTACTAATTTCATGTATAATATAACTAAAGAATTTGGGATACATTAACAGTCTTCTAACCTGACAATAACTGAAACAGGAATCTTTTACTATATTTTTGTCAGATATCGAAACAGACTTTTACGTAGCAGGGTAAAAGTAATGGGTTTGCGGGTTTTTTTTGACTGAATGTTCAACTCTCTATTTCAACCTTCCACTGGGGAAATGTAACATGGAAACATGAGGCCCAATCAGACAAGGTAGAGCAAAAACAACATGTCTCGAGTTATAATTTGCAGGAGATATTCTCATCATTATGATGGATGTAAACATCGCATCCGTTTTCCACTGAAGGTCCTTGTGGTTGTTTATGAGCAAACTAGTCTCTACATTCACATGCAATGCATTTGTGGATAGCAAAATGGATAAAAAATACTCCTTTCAAACTGGTTTGATGGGAATGAAGCTGTGGTTTCCACTCCAGAGCATCCTCCGAGGCAAGATGCACAAGTGAGTTTGTAGACAGTTTAATCATAGACTGTCAGTGATGTTGGCCCTTTCGCTGTATCAGGCTTCTGGTCCTCACAAGATACCCATGTTCAGCAGTTGCCTAAAGAGACGGTCTCATTTCATCTAACATTGTAATGAATCAAACACGATCACGTCTGTACATGCTTGATTATTCCTGGACCTTTCTGTTTAAGTGTTTTGTTATCCATCAGATATGATTAGAATGAGTGTCCCAGTATCAACCAACACTCTTTTTTTGTGACCCAGAGTTCAACTAATTCAAACCTTTAGAACCTATCTTATATCAGTAACTAGATTCTTCTAAATAATATCGTCTGCTGATATTCAATTTAACCCCCAAACTCCAGGTTAATTCAAGTAATAATACCTGCCTGAAATCATTGTGTCTGCTTCCACATCTTAAATATGATCTACATGGATGTGGAAATGTCCAAAGGATGATATGAATATTTCCACCAGAATGACATGGATTATAAGAACATATCTACCAGGATGATACGGAGATATCTACCAGGATGATACAGACATCTCTACCAGGATGATACAGACATCTCTACCAGGATGATAGGGACATATCTACCAGGATGATACAGACATATCTACCAGGATGATACAGACATATCTACCAGGATGATACAGACATATCTACCAGGATGATACAGACATATCTACCAGGATGATACAGACATCTCTACCAGGATGATACAGACATCTCTACCAGGATGATACAGACATATCTACCAGGATGATACAGACATACTGTAAACAGGGAATTTTTTGCAACCGTTTTATTATTGCGAGTTTTGCGAACGAGACTCAGTTGCAAAAATTAAAAACGCAAAAATAAGTATAAATAATACATACATACTTTATTCATTGCAACACGTCATCAAATGTTGAAATCATCAACCAGAACCACAAGTTACTCAATAAGTTAAAAACACAAATGAATGCAGAATGGTCACACAATACATCACAAATGACAGTGTAAACAGACCAATTAGTGTCTTCTTATATAGTTTGCATTCAAACTCACAGTCATGACACTGAGTTGAGTAAATTATCGTATTTGATAATTGGTCGCAATCCCTTCCGGTCAACTTTCTGGCCAACTCAGATTAACTAGCTTCGTAGAGAAGCTGTCTATTGTTTGGTAATCGAGGGGTCATCTCAACACGGCAACTCGCAAAAATATCTCGTCACAGTATTGTCTTTGCTGTGGTATTCGCAATATTTTAACGGCGCAGAAATAAAGCTGTTTACAGTATCTACTAGGATGATACAGACATCTCTACCAGGATGATACAGACATATCTACCAGGATGATACAGACATCTCTACCAGGATGATACAGACATCTCTACCAGGATGATACAGACATCTCTACCAGAATGATACAGACATATCTACCAGGATGACACAGACATATCTACCAGGATGATACAGACATCTCTACCAGGATGATACAGACATCTCTACCAGGATGATACAGACATCTCTACCAGGATGATACAGACATCTCTACCAGGATGATACAGACATCTCTACCAGGATGACACAGACATCTCTACCAGGATGATACAGACATCTCTACCAGGATGACACAGACATCTCTACCAGGATGATACAGACATATCTATCAGGATGACACAGACATCTCTACCAGGATGATACAGACATCTCTACCAAGATGATACAGACATCTCTACCAGGATGATACAGACATCTCTACCAGGATGATACAGACATCTCTACCAGGATGATACAGACATCTCTACCAGGATGACACAGACATCTCTACCAGGATGATACAGACATATCTATCAGGATGACACAGACATCTCTACCAGGATGATACAGACATCTCTACCAGGATGATACAGACATATCTACCAGGTTGATACAGACATATCTACCAGGATGATACAGACATCTCTACCAGGATGATACAGACATCTCTACCAGGATGACACAGACATATCTACCAGGATGATACAGACATCTCTACCAGGATGACACAGACATCTCTACCAGGATGACACAGACATCTCTACCAGGATGATACAGACATCTCTACCAGGATGATACGGGATCTCTACCAGGATGATACAGACATCTCTACCAGGATGATACAGACATCTCTACCAGGATGACACAGACATCTCTACCAGGATGATACAGACATATCTACCAGGATGATACAGGCATCTCTACCACGATGATACAGACATCTCTACCAGGATGATACGGACATCTCTACCAGGATGATACAGACATCTCTACCAGGATGATACAGGCATCTCTACCACGATGATACAGACATCTGTACCAGGATGATACGGACATCTCTACCAGGATGATACTGACATCTCTACCACGATGATACAGACATCTCTACCAGGTTGATACAGACATATCTACCAGGATGATATAACCTGATGGACTGATCTTCAAGGCTCACATGTCCAGATTTGGTAGGATAACATGGCCAGTGCAGCAGAAGTGCACAG